TTTAGGCTAGACCGGTGTTTACTTTTCGGCTGTGTGCCGGATTTTTGAGTTTTCACTGCATGCTGTTTGTTAGCTTAAAATTGATTGATTGTTTATTTATTTACTGCACTTTATTGAGCATTTAAATTTCAAATATATCAACTGCTTGAGATTAAATTTTAACTGCTTTGTATTATATATAATTGCTGATTATTAGAATAACCCTGCAGGATCGAGTCTAGAATTTTATCTTTTCAAATGTAATTTGATTATATAATGGTTGTAATATATTCAAAGTGATTTAAGTTTGAGATATTAATATCCAACTTGAATTCCAAAGAGCAGAAGACATTCCTAAAGAGGAGAGTCTTCTTCCATTTTGAAGATCAAGTTAGGATACTCTTTAAATATCCAAAGAGGAAATATAACACTATGTTCAAGGGGGAGTTTCTTTTCATTTGAAAATTCGGATCCGACGAATCAAGATGCTCGTGAGAAGGCGAATAAGTGGATAGCGAGAAGAATCTCAAATCTCAAAATCACTTAAGCCTTAGGAGTAGAATCCGGGTTGTTGTCAGTGGTGCCCGGCCACTTTACTTTTCTGCAAATTCTAGGGTATAATATTAAATGGCACTTGTCATATGAACTTTAAATTTGATATTAATTTAATTTAATTGATTTATTTATTGATTGATGTGTTGATTGAGATTAGGATCTGCCTGCTTTTCCTAATTTTTTTGGCGACCTTGCATGTTGATTTTGATTTAACCTGGAACCCAATCATAGGCTCTTAAGGACTTGCCAAAATTTTTCTATTAAATCAAATTAAAAATTTTAAGCTCACATAGAAACTCTAACGAATGTAAGAAGTAAGCCCGGAACCGTCATGAGTTCTCATTTCAAAAGTCTTAATTCAAATTCAATCATTTAATCTAGTCAATTAGCATGCATCGCATTAGCAACAAATTTAAAAATCTCTAAATCTTTAGTTGCATTTATTTAGGGATTAAACCTTAACATAAGTTAAAGGGTAAATTATGATCTGCTCTAGATGTCGGCCCTATTCCCAAAAACTTTTCTTAAATAACGTCCTTACCACTCAACATTAAAAGACCGGACTCATTATTTTAAAGCGCTTAGGTGGTTTAGCTGGCTCCCCAATCTAGGCCGGGGTAAGACCAGATCTGCACTGCATTAGTTAGGTTTGGGTTACTTTTTAGTACTCAATCTAGACTTAGGTTCTGAGGAAAGCTCGGGCTAATAGACCTCAACCTCCGGGAATTGAATCCTAATTTTCTAATAAAATTGATTATTTAACTAAAAAATCTCTTTCAATCAAATTCGAGCCCAACACTTAGGATAGACTGGGGCATTTCTGAATTATTTCAGAATCCCAGGTGCCTCCTACCTTTTTTCCTTCGACTCTAGAAATAAATGCTCAACCTTGAACCAATCCCGATTGAAAATTCCAACCCTTACCTCCTTTGATATCGAGCCTTGAAAATCTTAAATAAAATTTATACCGCTATTTTAATCGAGAGTATTCGTATAAAATTTCAATTTCCTACGATGTAATTAACTACGAGGGCTTGCGCTCGTAGGAGATTTAGAAACTCAGAGCTGATTTTCAAAAATTAAACTTTTCAAAACCTTCAATTAATTATTTTTGGGAAATTCAAAATTAAACAATCGTTATCTCCATTTTCAAATGATCAATAGTTATTGATAATTTCTTTCCTAGGAGAGATATCAATTTCTATTGTGATTTTGATTATAAACTTAACGATCTCTTATCCGAATTATTATAGCTAAATAATTGATTAAACATCATTTTGATCTTTCGAGATCATATGTTGTCTCTCCTGCGTTTGACTATGATAATCCGGATAAATTTAGAATTCTGAAATTTGAACCCATTAGGGAACGTTATGTTCGCCTCCCGGGCGATATAATGTTCATAATGACGTGTTCAATTTTAAAATTCTAAAAATTAAATATTTCCCAAAGAAAATTAATACTTTTCAAAACAATATTTTTCAATCAAAACAAGTGTGCAAGTTAAAAAATGCTCTATATGGGCTAAAGCAATCACCTAGAGCTTGGTTTGGAAGATTATCAAAAGTTATGCTACTCAATGGATATCGACAAAACTAAGAGGACCATACATTATTCTTCAAACACTCATACTCGGAGGTAGTCACAGTTTTATTAGTTTATGTCGATGATATCATCTTGACTGGAAAAGATGAAAATGAAAAATTGATTCTAAGAAAATATCTTGCCAAGGAATGTGAGATCAAAGAACTAAGTACATTAAAATATTTCCTTGTAATTAAAATGGCCGTTCCAAAAAAAATGAATCTGCATTTCACAATAGAAATATATTAATGATCATCTTAAAGAAATAGGTAAACTAGCTTGTAAACTGACACTAACACCAGTAGAACTATATCTCAATTTAGGGGAAGCTAAGAAGATCCAGACGTAAATAAGGGATCTTACCAAAGACATGTGAGAAAATTGATCTACCTTTCCCACGCCAGAGCAGATATAACCTTTGGTGTAAGCATTGTTAGCCAATTCATACAAAATCCAAAGCAAACTTACATGCAAGATGTAGACAAAATACTGCATTACCTTAATGGAAATCCAAGTAAAGGGATTCTCTTCAGAAGAGATTGTGGAATAATCTCATAAGCATATACTAATGCAGATTACACAGAATCACCAGTATATAGACGATCTACCTCATGAAACATAATGTGATGGCAAGGTTTAGTGTAGAAGCAGAGTATAGAGCTATGACCTTGAGAATATGTGAGCTACTATGGATTAAGATGATTTTAGAAGACCTAAGAATCAAATGCGAATGACCCATGAAGCTACACCATGACAACAAATCAATAATAAGCAAAACTCACAATCCAGTTCAGCATCACAAGACCAAGCACAAAGAAGTGGACAAATATTTCATAAAGGATAAATTAGACAATGGTCTTACATGTTTCTACCATGTCAGCATAACAAAACCAAGCACAAAGAAGTGAACAAATATTTCATAAAGGAGAAATTAGAGAGCAGTCTTACATGTATCTACCATGTCCCATCAAAAGATCAGCTTGCAGACATTCTAACTTAAGAATTTGATAACTCTACCTTCTTGGGACTGATTACTAAGCTGGAAATGACAGATTTATATTTCATAGCTTGAGGCTAAATAACAACCGTCTCTTGACACTTGATCCCACAGGATGGAAATTTATGGGAGGCTCACCTAAATCATGTCGATATTTGTTAAATCTCAACCATCCCTTGACACTTGATACCACGGCCAGGATGAGAATCTGTGGGAGGGTCACTTGGATCACGTTGATCTCCTTCCACATTTGGGTGGTTGATTTAGGAAGGATTATATTAGGGCAATTATGCATGATTCTGTAATTATTTGTTTCTTTATTAAAATATCTTATATAGATCTATAAATAAGGATGACTTTATGCAATAAAATCAAGCTTTTCCCTCTCTAGTTCTCTGAATTTAACAAAGATAAAAAATTGATCACGTGCTTTTGAAGTGGAAAACCATAAAAGAACCAAAAACATATCAAGATAGTCAAAGTTTAGGAAGATTGCAAATGGAAAATAATATAAATATAAGTTTTTCGGGAATGAAGAAATCGTTACTAGAGGCGTTGCATGGGGAACATAAAAATAATAATATGACGCACAAAATATATAAAATAAAACTAGTATGGTTGTTAAATTACTCGCAAAAAAAATATAGAAATAGAGAATGAATAAAAGAATAAACACTGAGCAAAATTTAAATTCAAATGCAACAACGTGGTTGCACGGGAATGCTTATTTTCTGTGGTCAAAACTCAAAACGTGTGGGTCGCATGTAATGCACTAGCAAAAAAAATGATGCAGATCCAAACTATGAGGTGCAGAGTTTGGACAATATTTTCCAGCCACAAGGACAGATGATGTAACATGCATTTATCCTAGCATACGTGCTCTAAAAAATCATAATGACCATCAAAGAATCTACTCGAATATTTGGGCATGAACATGATACAACCACAGTTGAAGTTACATTGAACAGGGCTTGAGTAACCGTCTACAATCCAATTTCAGAAATGCAAGATGCGACTGAAAAGTATTATAGCTCTTGAACTGCCTCAGTTTGGACAATAATCTCAACCTCTTTTGAACTAGCTTTTTTAAGTCAGTACAATAAAAAAAATAAATTGTTTCATTTGGAAGCAATATTTTGCATAAACAACCTACTAACATTTAAAGTTATTAATAAATCATTATTTTTAGTTATACCGACAAGACCTAACAATGAATTTTGTTATATAATCTCATTATTTCATCAAGATTAAAATAAATGAAAACATCAGTTTAACCCCAAGGAGTACATTTTATACTGATAGTTTTTTAAATTGTCCAAAAACTTTTATTACAACAATATCATGACAAATGTTACTAACTATTTGCAGTGTTTGTAAGGTCAGCCAGACTGGGGAAGGAACTTGGTTACGATTTCAGCTACAGAAACTAGGACAGCTTTATAGTAAGTGCATTTATGCAACCCAAACAGATGTGGAAAAAAAAATGAAGCTTCCTTATGAATGCTGACAATCGAGCATATACCGGCCATAAGCTTAAAAAAAATCACTTAAAGGCTTAAGCTTGAATCACCTTAACAAGTTTAGAAATTTAAGACAACCAAAAATCAGTTATTAAACAAAAACAAATGCAATAACCAAAGATGTTTTGTCAATAAAATATACAACCTGAAACAAAAAAGGTACTAAGTGGTAAAAGGGGAAGGCCCTAACTTATCTTCTCATACATCTTCTATCTTAAATCACAATCAATGAGGGATAAATAATGGCCTACAACTGTAATATTTAGCTAACAAAAGTAATAAAGACCATGTCTGAAAATACAAAATGATTCAGAAAATAGCTATCAATTTATGCAGCAAAGACAAACAACTTTACAAAAGTGTACCTTTATTTTCTCCCTTCTAATAATTCGCTCACAAAGAAGGCGTACTTTCTCTAGGTCAACCTGTAAAAGAATTTCAATGTTATGTAAACCAATGGGTAGATCTTCAATATACAGCAATATTTTTAATGGCATATGTAGGGCATGGGCAACTTAAAAACAATGTACAAAAACATTGGCATCATACCCAAAGAGGCTTTATTTGAAGTAATAACATAACTATAAGAAAAAAGCAATTGTAACCAATGTTTCAGAAATAAAATTTTCCTAGGCAACTTCAAATTTGATGCCCCTGAATGGTTCCTAACAACATGAATTGCTAATTATAAACATTGCAATAGTTAAAAATGGTGTTCATGACAATCAAAAATATTTTTTTCAATATGATTTTTTTTATTTATCTCAAATAACACTGAAATTTCATATTAAGAAAATAATTATAGCATGCAGGTATTCTCTTCAAAAACCTGCCACCAATGGCTCAGAAGTGATTTTTTTTAATAGCAGCTAGAAATAATAATGAGTTCAGACTTACCCTCACTTGCTTTATATTCTTAAGCTCCTCAGCACCGTGCTGATTATCAACCTAGAAATAAATATGAAAACAGAATAAGATAAACATACAAGGCAGCAACACCACAACAGTGATGTACAACATAATATTCCAGCGATACAAATTATATATTATTTTGGAATTAATTACACAAATGATATTAAGAAATCACACGAAAATAAAAAACCAAGGTTAGGACTGATTATTGCATTGTAGGAGGGGAGTTGGAAGGGTACCTTTTCTCTCTGTTCCACGCTATGTTTTTCACAATAGGCCTTGTGCTGGAATCTGCCACCAATAGCTTTTATGTTCATGAATAAGCCAGCACTTCTAGCACAGGTTGGATGAAATTTAGCCTGGCAATGTCCATAGCTACACTGCATAGAATGAAAAAAAGAAACAAAATGCACATATCCATATGAGGTAAACAATCAATTTACAAATTATATTCACAGAGACAGATTACAAACCTTAAGGCACAGACCAAGTCTGTTATGACATATACAACAAGTATTTATGTCCTTTTCCTTCGAAAGAGCATCCTGCAGAACAGGATCAAACAGCATAGGTCAGGAAAGGTAAAATTTGATGCAACATCATAGGATATAAATGAATCATTAGAAAAAAAAAAAAAAACAGAACGAAGCACAAAATGATCACCATTCCCCCGACCAGATTTTGCTGGCCCCTTTTGTATGTTGATTCCAGCAACCACTACAAGAAGATATAGACATGACAACTCTAGAAAAAGAATATCTTTAAGAATAATGACCTAATAATTGGAGTAATGAGAATGAAAAAAAGGGTAAAATGAAATAAACTTGAAATACCTCAGCACAGAAGGCATGAACCCATTCCCCATTTGTTGACTTGCGGAATGCACCAATAACACCACTGCATAAACTACACTGGGCTCTAGAACAAGTCTTTTCACTGCTACCCAATTGTTGATTCCCAGGACTTGCCTGTAAAGAAGTATCCTCGCAAAACTCACATCGCCATGGACCAGCGGGATCTTTAAGCCTCCGATAGCAATCCAAGTGAACAGCAACCTGCTAGTGTTTCAATAAACAATCAATACCAGAGGGAAAATAGCAATGTATAAGGAAGAATGAATCAGACGGAAATGTACACCACCTTGCAGCTAGAACAAACAAAAATACGGTTCACTATTGTCTCAGCCCGCCAACAAACATCACAGAACAATATATTTTCCTTCGCAAAATCTGGAAACTTTAAGTCACCAGAATGCTTATCTGATGAAACTTTAGAAACAAAAGACCTTGAAATAGTTTCCTTTGGACGTGGCACCGGTGGAGAATATGTTGTTGCTCTCCTAGTGGCCGTACTACCATAAATAGGATTCTGCAGAAGAGCCAAAGAGAATACACACTCATAAGCAAATTATGGGTAGTGTTGCTAACATATGAAAAAGAAAAGTTAAAAAAATAATATAGAAGAAATCATATGATTCACATTTTCAAGATAATTTGTTGAAAAATATGAGAAGAGAAATAGATATTTTCCCATTCACATAGGTAAGAGATGTATAATATATGAGAAACCTAGCCCAATTTGTAGGCCTAGATTTAGAAATAAACTAAGAGCAACAATCAACCATAACCAGCTCTAAGGAGGGAAAAAACAGGAAATCTATTAAACCTAATATATAAAATTAATGTGATGGATGCTAAATTCAATTGACTCTAAGTTAAGAAATCGTGGCACATGACAACACCTAGGGCAGAATTTCGGAAGGCATATGCATTTGCCAGCCTGTAGAAGGGAGGCTCCACACTTGACAGCTTATAGGCAAGAGGACAGTAGGGAAAATCAGGCATAGGTGCAGTGACCAGCTGAAAAAGCAAGTGCTTGCAGCTAGCTGGCAGAAAGAATGGTGAAGGATTGAAAGCAGGTAGGATATTTGCCAACTTGCGCCTCCTAATATTAAGTTTGGCTTCTTTCAGAAGCCTCAAAATTTCTTAAGGTGCTATAGAGATCCTCATAACTATTTTTGTACATAAAAATGTAGATATGAATTTATCTAAAAAGGGCACAATACCACATTCATCAATCTTATGAAGGTAGTTGGCACATTGAAAAGTCCAAATTGCATCACCGGACATTCATATAATTCCTATCTTATTTAGAAGGCAATCTTCTACTAGTGATAGTAGCATTTCAATTCTAGCTTGGAGACGTACTTATTTGGCTTTAGTTGATCAATCAATTCCTCAACTAGTGGTAATGGATAGTAGTTCTTGATGGTAATCATGATTAGTGCTATGTAATCGGCGCAATTCCACCATTCTTCTTCAACTTAAGTATCATTGATGATCCACATGATAATTGCCCATCCTAATTGCTCTCTACCCTATTAGTTCTACCACCTAATGCCAAATCTACTCAAATTTCAGTGAAATGGCAAACCATGCTCCACGGCTCTCATGGCTAACAAACCTTTCACTTCCTAGAAAAAGGAGAGAAGAATCCTACAATATGAGGTTAACTTGCTTACCTTGAGGAAGGCCAGCCGCAGAGAAAACAAAAGATAATTTTATCTAATTTTGCAGACATATCAAGGCCAAGCGCACAAGAAACAAAGGCAAGTTCATCTAATCTATCATATCACATGAGTAGTACAAAACCAAGATTGAAAATAACCATATTTTTTTTTATTGAAGATAACAAGATCAGCATTAAAGAAAGTAATAGCTATGGAAACAATGCGAGGAAAATCATTTTAGCAAGTTAAACTATTATGATTGTCTACAATAGGTAACTTCATGCTTCCATTAGTATGGATTGCCACAGGTCAAATGACACAGGCGTGATCTTGAAGGTGACCACGTTAATCACTCCATGGTTGCAAACTTGAGGATCAACTATTGGTCATCCTTGTATCATACAATCGTCTTGAATCATGCCAATGAGTAACAATTTGGATGGGATATAATTTGCAAATTTAATATGTTGTTCAGTACCTCAAAAACCATGTTTTTTTATTCCCATATCGAAGATAAAGAAAGCTAAAACAATCTTGGCCTATACATATAGCTTAAGGAGCTCATACTTAGCCTCATCTCGCTAGCAAGCATGAACTAAAGAAGGAGACATTTGTTGTTCCCTTCTTCTGAACCACTTCTAGAGTTGTCCTTCTAGTTGTATAGCCTATATCAGTAATTGTTCTTACTGTCCAATAGGTTGTTCTGGTTTTTATTAATATTTGGAATGATGTAAGAGTTATTCCGAAGGTGTAGCTTACTATTTTTACAAGGCAGATTGCTATTCAATTACATTGGCAGGTTATGGTAGCTACTATACTTGTTGCAAATCCCTTTATTTTGCTGATTTCTGCATTTTTTTCTTCTGAATGGCTTCTTATGCGCAATTAAAGATAGTGTGAGATTCGACTGTCATACCCCACCAATCTACAATCTTTTTGCATATTTCACAATGGTCTACTTTGGCCTCAATTATGGGTGGAGCTTCCAACACTTTCCCTTCACATAGCCATAGTGCTGGCAATGTGTATAAAAAAAACATTCATTGTTTTGTTGTTCTTGATTGCATTTTCCTTCATCTTGTTAATTGCAGTTGCCCTTGTCCATATGATGGTTGTTCTTTTCACTAGTCATTGGATGATTTTTGGCATTTATGCCCAATTGCCCATTGAATAGGCACCAATTTCTTCAATCAAGGCAATTCAGAACAACTCCGATTCCTAGTGTAGATTTTCATATAGCTCTGCAACAAACTTCATTGGGATTTTCAAAACCCTAACTATGCAAGAATCAAGAGTGAACTAAAATTCAAAATTCAAAACCAACTCCTGAAAAGCAGGATAAACCTATTCTTAAGCCTAACATATTGAAAACGAGTAAGCGAATCAGAACAAGAGATAATAATTAAAATTCTACAGGATCAAACAGACCAACAGACCACCCTCAGGTCAAATCGACCAGCCCCAGGGAGACCAACCTTGCCACCCTGGGATGCTTGTTTCCGATCTACTTAGCATCCCCGATCTACTTCCTCAGTTAGCGGCCAACTTGATGGCTAGCTATTTTTTCCTCATAAGGTGGTTCTCCATTGTCATCGATCCAATGGCTAACTAGTCCATATTCACCTAGATCAATGCCAAATGTTTTCAAAGATGTTTTAAACCTATGATTCACGAATCAATTTCAACATGTATTCATGTTACCTTAGGTCTATTCCTTCTTCCAAATTCTCTAACACTACTTATATCAAGATGCTTAATTTGTGCATTTTTTACACCATTTGATGTACATATCCAAAACATGGAAATTTATTTTCAATATTATTATCTTCAATACACCAAATGCTGCTAGTAGTATAATCAATTTTCAATTTAACCTTTTAAGTTTAGTCAAACGTCCATTTTAATATGCTCATTTTTGTCTAATTGAACTAAGCTGACAGATTTTTTTTTTGGTCAAACACTTGAATCAATATAATTTCTTCCGCCTAATTGTAATTTTATAAAATTTATCTTTTGAGACTCAATGATATCCTCTTATCATATAATACTCATAAGAGACTCATCATTTTAACATCTCATACTTAACTATAAGAGTTATAATATTATCAATATCTCTTTATTCTTTTGTATAATATATCCAAAATACTAAAACATATCACATCTAGGTATCCTTTTAACTTCTAATAATATTAGTTGATACTTTTCAAGATCACCACTAAATTTGTATTTCATATATTCAATCTTTATTCCACAATTCTAAGCCTTTTATCTTCAATTTTTTTTAATTATTCTATTCTTTTATTTCTTTTAACAGATATCTCATCAATTAAATTATGTTATTAAAAAAACATAAATTAAATAATTTACTTTGAGCAATATTTATAAGTATCACCATAACCAATGTAAGAAAATAAGGACTCAATGTTACTTTAATAAAATCTAACAATAGTTGTAATCCTCCAGTAATTGGAAACTCTTCGATCACCTCAAAATTACGTCTACAAAATCCATCAACAACAACAACAACAACAACATCAAGCCTTTATCCCACTACGTGGGGTCGGCTACATGAATCCTTTTTCTCCATTGTGTCCTATTAAAAGTCAAATTCTCGTTTAAATCTAATAAAGAAAGGTCATTCCTAATATTTTCTAACCAATTTTTATTTAATATTAATCCGAAAATTATTAATATTATTGATCAATTAGATGAAAGGGAGGTTTTGGCATGCTTAAGGGATGAAATTAGTAAAATGTGAAAGTCAAAATTTTGGAAATTATAGTAAATCCGAAAATGAAAATAATAATTATATTTTTTTAAATAAAATTAAAATGTTAGAGATTTAAATGTAAGTAATAGAAATTGAAAAATCGTTTTCCCTTAGGTTGGAATAAGGGAAAGGAGGTGACGACTTGTGCGGGAAATTTTCAAAACAAAGCTTCTTAAGTGTAAGTGACTCTACTTGCTAGGGAAAATGTTCATATATATATATATATATTGCTTTATGTTATTGGTTGCAAAGAAGATAGAAAAATTATTGTTCAAAGTTCTTATATCATGTTCATGTTCAATGGTTAGTGGTTTGACTTTGTGTTAAAGTTTCTTAGCTTATCATATGAAATCATGAGCATGAGCATCTTCTTATCATTTTCATGCTTAATCATACCTATGATATATGAATATATGAAATGCATAGCTTGTGATTGTTGATGGCGGAGTACCAAGAGGTGGCTCTTTGAGCAAATACGGCCTTTGAGACAATATGGAATGAAATGAAAATGTTATGGCCATGAATGATGTGTACCTGATCAGTATAATTCGGTACTCCGGGACGGATGTATACAATATGAATAAAAAGATAAACATATGCAAGTATATCTCATGTTATCTCATGTTAAGAAATCATATTTCATGTTATCTCATGTTAGACAAGCATAACTCATATCATGTTCAATACATAGTCAACTTAATACTTGCTTCAAGACATACCTTAAGACATCTATTAGCACATGTGTAGGTTATTAATCCACAAGTTCTTTTCTTTTAAATGTACACGAACTTTAGTTGTAGTTGTCAATTACTAAGCATAGCTCACTCCCCTAGTTTTGGAAAATTTTCAGAAAAACCTACTGTTAAGTGATGGCCGAACACCCGAGGTTTACATACAATTTACGCGTACCGGGTGACAGGTTCTTTTATTGTTTTCATTAGATATAGTTCCTTACTTTATTTTTGGATGGCATACAGAGTATGATTAGATATAAGTTGTCATCTTGTAAATTGTGAACAACATGTGGAATGGAAATAAAATGTTTAGAGTAGTTTTTTTTTGTTCTTGAATGTCTTTAGAATTTATATGAAAGATGAATAGAGTTTGATCTGAATGTCCGATTTCGTTCCCGCCTCGTATATACGAGCTAACCGGGCATGATCATGACAATCTCTGCCACACTTAACTTAGTATTATGTTTCTCTTTTAATGGCCAATATTCGGCACCATAAAGCATTGCAGGCCTCACCACCATCTTATAGAATTTTCCCTTAAGTTTGAGGGATACTTTTCTATCACACAACAAGCCCGATGCATTCCTCCACTTCAATCATCCAACTTGAATTCTGCTGATAATATCCCCATCTATTTCACCATCACTTTGAACAATAGATCCAACGTATCTAAAACGTGTACTGTTATTAATGACTTGATCATCCAAAGTCGCAATCCCCTCACTAGGTCTATTACTACTAAAATTACACTCCATATATTCCGTTTTAGATCTACCCAAGCAAAAACCTTTAGACTCTAATTTTGACCACCATAATTCAAGTTTACCTTCAATTCCCTCTCTAGTCTTATCAACAAGAAGAATATCATCAGCAAAAAGCATACATCAAGGTACATCCTATTGCAAATGTCTATTGAGAACATACATGACTAAAGCAAAAAGATATGGGCTTAAGGCTGATCCTTGATGTAACCCAACCGAAATAGGGAAATACTTAGTCAAACCATCTTGTATTTGAACACAAGTAATAGGTCATGCATACATATCTTTAATGATTTTAAAGATATTGAATATAAGCGTTATTAACTCCATTATTTTCAAGAACTCTTCATAACACTTCTCTTGGAACTTTATCATATGTTTTTTCTAAATCAAAAATTTTGTATGTAAATCCTCATTATTTCCTCTATCTTTCTCCATCAGATCTCTTAATAAATGTATGGCTTCCATAGTCGACCTACCCGGCATGAATCCAAATTGATTTTGAGAAACATTAATATCACGCCGCAACTTATGCTCCATAACTCGCTTCCATAATTTTAAAGTATGACATATTAACTTAATTCCTCTATAATTTGCACAATCTTGTGCATCACCTTTATTCTTAAAAATAGGAATTAACACACTCATTCTTCACTCATCTGACATCTTTTTAGTCTTCAAAATAGTAATAAAAAGTTTAATAAGCCAAGAAATTCCTTCATCTCCTAAGCATTTCCACACCTCCATTGGAATATGATCATGTCCAACACCTTTTCCACCCTTCATTTTCTTTAAAGCCTTTCTAACTTTGGTTTTACTGATATGTTGATAAAAACATAAATCTTTATTTTCATTTAAGGTGCTAAGGTCACTACAGTCAATCTTAATTTCACAATATTCATTAAAAAGTTTAGCAAAATATCTCATTCACCTTTATTGAATATCATCTTCTAAGAAAAATATTTTTTGATCTTCATCATTAATACACTTCGCTTGAACTAAATCCTTACTACTCATATCTCTTTGTTTGGCTAACTTATACATATATTTTTCTCCTTCAGTATCTAATCTATTATATAAATCACTAAAAGCTAAGGTCATTGCATCGCATATTGCTTTCTTAGATTCCTTACGGGCCTCTTTATATCTTTCCCAATTATCAAAATTTTTAAGATTAAACTAATTTTATAACAATTTTTCTTATTTTTAATCTTTTCTTGCACATTTGCATTCCACCACCAACTATTTTTAATATTAGGAGATTTTTCCTTTGATACTCCAAGCACATCTTTTGCAATATTCTTAATAACATTATCCACTTTTTCCGACATAATATTACCATCCTCATGCACAGACAAAATCTTAAGATCTAAAATCTTACTCTCAAAAATATTTTTGTTAATATTCTTTAAATGCCCCCATCTAATTTTAAAAAATCGTTTTACTTTATTTTTTATTTTTTGCCCAATTATCTTAAAGTCTAAAACTAATAATCGATATTGGGTACATAAATTTTCACTCGAAATAACTTTACAATCTTTGCAATCTAAATGATTTAATTGTCTTATAAAAAAATAGTAAATCTGAGTTGTATTATATCCATTTTTATAATTGATGAGATGTTCATTCTTTTTCTTAAATAAGGTATTAGCAATTAAAAAATCATAAGCTAAACAAAAATCTAATATGATCTTGTCACCTTCATTTGTCGTTCCAAACTCATGGCCACCATGAATGTTTTTAAAATCATCTACCTCTCTACCAACATGTCCATTTAAATCTCCTCCAATAAAAACTCTTTCTTCAAGAGGTATCTTTTGTATTAATTTTTCTAAGTCATTCCAAAAATTTAATTTAGAACTCATATCAAAAACCTACTTGAGGAGCATAAGCATTTATAATATTAACAATTTTAGCATCAACAACAATAAGTTATAATTCTATCTCCAATTATATTAATTTTTATAACATTATCCTTCAAACTCTCATCTATAATAACACCTACACAATTTCTAATACGACTCCTACCCGAATACCAAAATTTAAATCCTAAATGATCAATTTCCTTAGCCTTCTTTCTAACCCATTTAGTTTCCTGAATGCACAAAATATTTAACTTCCTATGAATCATAATATCTATTAATTCCATTAATTTTCCTTTAAGGGAACCTATATTCCAAGTTCCTATCATAATTTTAGTTTTATGAACTAGCTTCTTTGCCCACATCCGTCCTTGATGTGGGAACCCTTGCCTATTTAATACTGCACCCGGGCGCCGGTGCAGTGGCCCTTGCACACTTGTCACTGTATTTAAGCCATACATCCCGTCGCTTCCAGGGGACACCCTAGCATTAACACAATTTCTTAAAGGATTCATGTCATTATTATTCCACAAATTTTACGCTGACTGTTGACTACCTAACGCAACCCTCCACTTTTCTCATCCAGGATTTGGCAGTGTTTTTCTTATACGAATAATAAGTTTAATTCCTCTATAATTAACACAATCTTCAATATATGCTTTGTGAACCAAACCACTGTAGTATCCCTATAACTAGCCAAATCTCACAAGGTGTATTCTTTGATCTAAACATTTACCTTTATGTAGATTCATCATAGGCTCATAGCTAATTCACTTTATAAGATTAATATGTAACATATCAAATATTTTATTCATTTTGTTCTTCCAAGTATTATTTTTCTTAAAACCTTCATTTGACAATTTCTTTAAGTAGTAATCCATTTTTCATTGAAGTCCTTGTATAACTAAAAGCATACTATGCCAGCTTCTAATGAATCTAACATGATCAAAAATCGGATCCATGATCTCTTGACTTATTTAGCTATTCTAAAGTTTTTTCTTCTTGCTATCAAACATATTATATAAAACATAACAAATTGCAACTTTTATTTTGCTCACTACATGCTTTGTATGTCTTCTAGTTCTCTTATAATGAATGTAACTCTCGCTAGTATGAAGGAACATTTTCCCTCTAATAATTTTTTGTATATCCTCAGTCCAAAAAAAAAAAGTCCTTATATGAATATAATTTTTTTCTTGACTCTCCTAAGACTTCTAAAATAATTTTCTTAATGAAATTAATCATCTTTTCCCACATCAAATTTAGCAAAACTAATAATTTTATTTTATCTCTCTTGGTAACATATCTTAGAAAACTAATAATTTCTTTTCTTTAAATTCCATCACTTTATACTCAAAAAAAATTATGACTATAAAAAACATTAAAAAAATTTAGCCGATTTCCATTATGTGAAGCTTCACTCAACCACCAAATAAATCATGGTAAGATAGAAACATGTAGAATTTATTGCCGTGCATCCACCTTAATATCTAGTACCAACTATAGATCACATGTTCTAGGGAATGAAGTAGAGATCATTTCCATATATGTGTGAAATAGCAATATAATTGATATATAAGGTTAGAAAAATATTTAAAACCTGTTGACTCGAACTAACTCCATCAAATGCATCTTTACGTAGCATAGAGTTCCTCGAAGAGGCAGCAGCAGCAGTTGCTGCGGCAAGAATCGCTTGAGCTTCTTTATGACGTCTCTCTTTCCTCCCTTTTTTCTTCGCTTCTTTAACTTCACAAATATATTGATTGACAAGTACCATATCCCATCTTTTTCTCCTGAATGCATCAAGCTCTTGAGAAAGATGGTTGATCATTCTATTAATCAACTCTTCTGCATAAAAAAAAAAGGGATCATTAATATCATAACATATAAAATATATCAAACAAAAAATATTGTTGAATCATACGTAAAAGGAATTAAACAAGCTCAAGCTTAAGAATCCTATGAACATACATATATAGGAGAACGTCAGTTGCTGCCATGATACTATTAAAACCAATTTTATAAAAAAAATATATATAGGTAATTGCATGCTAGAAATGGAAGGTGGAAGGTGGAAGGTATGAAGCTATCATTAAACAGTCCAACTAGTTGTAATTGGCAGATAGCAAAATACATATATACATACATACAACATCTCGAATTAGGTGGATGTAATGCTTTTAGTACAAACAATCTATTTTCTCGTTAGGTTTGATTAACGATCAAATATTCATAAAAATTTATCAAAATGGATTATCAAGTTATTCTTAGGTTGTAAATCAATGCCAACAATCTTGATGTTGCATTTGAAGGTAATATTACAGAAAAATGTGTGGAGAATGTAATTCTCCACATAAAATGATAGATGATGATACCTTTTTTTTTTGTAATAGAAACATATCCTACATACTTCAATCAATGGTGTATGGTGCATGCCAAATCTTTTTTTTTGGCTCGTGGATAGTTATAAATTTAAACCTACATTGATAGCAAGAGAAATCCTTCATGCAATTGACGTCAAATCTCAAACCCAAGACCTATGCCCTAAAAACTAGAAAGCCTATCCATTGAGCCAGGTCCTTTCAATAGTAGTTAAAAATAAAAATTAGACATTTCTCCTATGAGAAAAATGAATATTCTCCGCCTAATTTTATTTTTTAATCTGCTGCTTTAAGTAATCTTTAAACACAAAATCATACCATTGATAGTGATATACAATTTGAAAAACAATGAGTCAAATTTCATCAAATTTCATAATCTTTTTAAAATTCATCGAGCATGTGGACAAATTGTGAATTTTCCTTTTAAAATTCAAGCTTTACCCATATATTTCATCAAGTAAAACTGCTTAATATATGCTAAGTACAATAATAAACTCATGTATTTAACCCCAACCCATTCAAAAGTCTCTATACTTTGAAATTCTAATAACATTCTCATTTAATTGTAGCCATGATTAAAAAAACTTCCATTTGATTGATTGATAATTAAATCATCTTTAAAATTCATAAAACAAGGCATAAAACTACTTCCAATGATGTTGAACATAGTAGATGGCTTTGATTTTGCATTTAAAGGCCACAATATTGAAATTAAATTGGGTAGAGAATGATGATTCTATTCATAAGAGGAGAAAAATCCATCCCTTCACTAATATACATATGATAAATCTTTATGAACCTAAGATGCATACTTGAAAAACATGAAATGAAAAGAAACTGTTTAAGAGCTTAAAGCACAACTTCTCACAGCTAGGAAACTTGAGGGCAAAACTGAATGAATAAGAAAGACGCCTGACCACATGAATGCTTGATTGAAGCAACCCTATCAAGTAAACAGTTTTGCAAGTACAGCAACTCTCCTTCAATTTCATCTGTAGGTGAAATATCCAGGAACTGCATATTTTTAACCTTTGCCAATTGGTCCAAATTTGCTGCAATGGATGGACAACCCTCAACAGTCTTGGTTTCAGTGCTTTTCAATCTATCTGCACAAACAGCCATCTTCAGTAGAATATTCTATTATCACCATAATCTGACAATGAATAATGAACAATACAACATAATATTAAAAAAAAAAATCTCATACTACAATAGGTAGAAGAAAAGAGAATAGTACCATTATAGCTAGTTTTTATGCTTTTTTGTTTGTGAAGTAATCCCCAATGATTTTGAAGTTCTCTCAACTTTTTCAGGATGAATGGATGAATAAATGACCTAGAACATGGCCCAACATCTCTGCACCATAGATCGAGAAATTTTCAGGAAAAATGTTGTTTAGTAAACTAACTATACAAAAAACACATTACCATAATACAAACCAAATAAGCTCCTAAAAATTATGAAAAGGTTGTCAAAAAGAAAAAAGATTTACTGGTTATTTAGGTTTCCAGCCAAACTCGCATCATAATCTGGATGCTCTAAGCTGTCAGTCTTTCGCTCAATAATGTCAGCCTCAAATTTTTGACTATCTTCCACAATACGAGGTGAACAATCTGATACATCTTTTAAGTCACCTCCTTCTGGCTTATCTGGAGTTACAACCATTTTTTATTTTGATAAACCGACATCAACAAAATTAATCATATAATACTCATCGAGAAACTTAGATCTAAAAAGATGCTATCATCAAAGTACAAGTTAATCAGAGCAGTCAAGAGCTATTGCAAAATTTTAATACTTAGTAAAAACCTTAAAAAGCACTTCTATACATCATTCATTCTCGACTTTCAAAAACAACAAGCTTTTCCCTCGCTTAGCTCCCTGCTCTAACATTGTTGAACAGTATTAGTTTTCCTGTTTTCCTGCTCCAAGACTGTTGAACAGTGCCTACCAGAACTAACCCAAAAAAACAACGATGGAATTTTAAACAAAATTTCTGACCAACTAAACTATAGATAATGGATAATGTAAAAGTTTCATATGGAAATCCAACGTTTTTTGGATAATAGATAATTAAGGATAATACCAGTAAGATAAGCCAACCAGTATCACAACTTCATATTTCAAAATAACAGAGTGATAACATATCAAATTCAAGAGTCTCATTAAATAATATCCAGAAAGATATATTTTGAAAATCAGACATTTGAAGCATCATAATAATGCAAGCGTGTCCCATTTAATAATTTTTTAAAGAATACTTATTCGTCTTAAGACATAAGGCAAATGGGACATGGTACTAAACAGTACAATGATTAAACCACGAGGAATATTGGTTATGTTTAGTTTTCTACTTTTCTTTATACATATACAAGTACATAAGTTTCATTTGGTTCTGCTTTTTTCTTGCTTAACTTTTCAAAAAAAATATTTTTATTTTTATGGTAAATATGCTTGGAAAATCACCAATCTGCAAGGTCACCTTCTCTATAACTTTATAAAACATAGACGTAACTCGTATTTCTATTCAAGAGTATGATCATTTAATTTCATAAACTACAACAGAAACACAGCTATAATAATGAAGCCTTAGATATATAAATATCCTGACCAGTTTGTATCCAAATTATTCAAGATTGTGTTAGGCCGGTTCCTCCTGAACCAGCCTAATCTTCCTCAAATCCTGAACCGGCCTTGGATGGGCTGGTTTTGGTCTATTGGAGGCAGACTAATACTGCCTCCTTTTCCTTTGCCGCCCATAATAGTGGGTCCTACTATTCAAATTGAATCCAAAATAAGAAAGGAGGGGGCGGTTAGGGTTTTGGAGGGAGACTTGATTTAGAAGGTTTATGTATTAAATAGCATGAGGTGTTTTAGGGTTAGGGGGTTATGATTGGATTGGTTTCTTTTGTTCTCTTGAAGTTTTTTTAGCATCTTGGGCTCTAGACTCATCGTCTAGAGATTGGGAGAGAATGATCCTACACTCAAATTGAGGATCAATTGTATCTTGTTTTGTGTTTGCTTTTGCTTTGAATCCACTATTATAATCTATCGTTTTGGATTTATTTCATCAAAATTATCGTATTGTTTCCGCTGTTTTTTAATCAATTATTGCTAGGGTTGCTTGCGAACTAACTTGTGAACTCGCTTGCAAACTCAACTATTTCCTCTTCGATTACTTGCGAACTCAAGTATTTCCAATTAAATTGATATTAGAGCGTTGTCTTGGGGCCATCGGCGGCTGAAATTATGCAATTTCAACAGTGAAATTTCATCCGGAAAAAGATCTTCTCATGATTCTTGGGAATAAATATGGCCGAGATGAAGGTTGAAGTCTTAGAAGAAGAAATTGGGCAACTTAAATCAGCTTTGGAGGGAAAATTTTTTTATTTTCAAAATTAGATTTCATCCAATAATGAAATGATGGAAGGGTAGTTCATCGTGATGAAAGAGATGTTGAAGAAATTGCTAGAAGTGAAGACCAATACGGCGACATCGGAAGCAAGGGAAACCATCAGCGGCCATGGAAGATGTGGAAACCCTAATCTTTTTAGGGGAAGGGAAAATTCGGAAGTGAAGATATTGGATGGTGACGGAATGCCTCCTCTAGAACCACTTTCTAGGGAGGAGATGAGCACTGGTTTCGAAAGGACTGTTGATTTTGTAGGGAGAAAGGAGGATTTCTACCGCAGAGGTGTTGAATTTGAAAGAAGAAGAGGGGAATTTGATGAAGGGGTTGCATATGATCGTTGGAGGGAAGATCATGACAATTGGGGAGTACCTCCTCTTCGCAGAATGGGAGGCTATGGAGGATTCAGAGGAAACAAGGGTGACTCGAAAGTGAGGAAGTTGAAGATGCCCATCTTTGAGGGCGAGGATGGCAATGGCTGGATAGACAAGGTGGAACAATATTTTGCCGTCAACAGGTTGATGAAGGAAGAGAGACTGACATTGGCATATTTGTATTTGGAGAGGAAGGTACTAGCATAATACTAATGGCGTGACATGAGGCAACCCATCCGGAACTGGAGGGAGTTCAAAAAGTGCTTACTAGAATGTTTTTGAACCGGTATGGGAGGAGACTTCTATGAACAATTCTTTGCCTTAACACAGGAGAGGACTATGGCAGATTACGTGAGAGGTTCGAGTACCTGGCCAGCAAATTAGGCTGGCTCTCTGAGACAGTGCTAGAGGGGAACTTTATGAAGGGGCTTAAACCGGAGATATGGGCAGCGGTTAGGGTGATGAGGCCAAGAGACCTTGGGGAGGCCATGAGGGGGGGGGGGGGGGGGGGGCCATGGAGCTAGAACAGTTGGTGAAGGATCAGATGCAGCTGGAGAGAGGGGCTAAGTGGAGCAACTCGGTGGATCGTACAAGATGAACACCACCTTCTTAGCTCCTAAGGGGCCATCAATACTCTCCTCCCAAAGTGTCACATTATCCTCAAGGTGGAACGAAAGAAACTGCTGTTGAAGCACTTGACTAATACCATTGGACTAAAAAATGGACTTACACTAGGTTGAATGATCCCCACCTCGAGTATCTCCTTGATTAATCTCTTCATTATGGATTTAAGGATGATGTTATAGACGAACAATGATAGGTGGGACTCCATCCTTCAAGATGATAACATACCCGCGTTCCCGCAAATGATTCAACCCCTGAACTTATTGAAACACTTCTCGATATTGTTGTAGGGGTGGTAGAATCATGTCTGGTGCTTCTATCTTCTCCCCATATTTTTCTCCTTTCAAATTCTGCAGCTCCACTAAAAGTCCCACTCCTTTAACCTTTCCTCTCCTTAGAAGTGGCATCCCCTCTTCTTTCCCCAACATTTCCACCTCCTGATCTTTCCCTCTCCTTACCGAATTAGGGTTTCCTCCACTCCCTTGGTCACTGGTGGCTCCCCTTACCTCTGGCGAAACTGTTTTGTTTTGGAACTTGAGCATCTTTCTCATCATCTCCTCCATGATGACAAACTACTAATCGATTTTCTCACGGATGGCCGAAAATAGCTTTTCGAAATCTGAAATCTTTTCTACACAATCTGATTTCAATTGTCTGATCTCCCCTTTCAATACTTCTACTTTTCTTCCAACCATGGGTGCCAGGATCAAACAGCTTTGATACCAATTTAATAGTAAGTGCTTGCAGAAATTTAGGAAAAACTTTGACTAACATCTAATTTCAATAATTTCAGAAAGCCAATGACAAGAAAATCAGGAATAAACACACTAACATTGTTTTTTTATTGAAAGTTTTATAAAAGAAAAGACAAGATACAAGTGCATCTTGAATTGGAGAGGAAGATCTGACTCTCCCAAATCTCTAGCTGCTAGCTAAAGCCCAAACACCCATCGAAGAATCTAATTTCAGCAAACAACACATACCTCTTACCTTAGGAAAATCACCTATTTAAAGCAAATAAACAACAAATACCCTAACAGTCCTCCCCCAATTCCCTCATATTTCCATAATTATTTCCCTCCCAAATCAGTCCTCTTCAATTAGGAAACATTTTCTAATTAATCCTCTTCAAATCAGCCCCTAAATATGTCCTATTCAATTAGAAAATATTTCCTAATTAATCCCCTCCAAATCATCCCTCTTCAATTAGGAAATAGTTCCTAATTAGTCTCCTCTAAATCAGCCCCCAAATATGCTCTTTTCAATTAGGAAACATCTCCTAATTAATTCTTTTTTTATTAAGAACCTTCCTAAACAACTCCCACTTGATTAAAAAATTTTCTAATTCTCTATCAAACAAATCGACCGGTCCATCAGTGTTCCAGAGTATTGTGCAGCAGGAAAAAAAAAAGTTCAAAAGATGTAGAGGATTCATAAAGTTGGCCATAAGTAATTGAAATAAGCAAAAAAATAAACCTGACCTCATTAGACAACCATCAAGATGAGCTCATTTAACACACATCAAGAATTAATAGAGAAAGATCCATAAAGTCTACTCCAACAAAAAGTTGGAAAAAAAAGCCAAAGATACAAATTGTGTTCAAAACTGTACAAAATTTGACCAAGGCTTTAAGAAATAGTAAGAAAGCCGTCCCAAACGAAGCCTAAGTTTAATGTAAAGCTTGATTTACCCATGAAATTATGGAGACTACAAATAAAAATTAATATAATTAGTATTCTCATTAATTATATAATCAATAAATTTGCATTTTTACATGAAACTAAAAGAAAGGAGAAAACTATATAAACTTTGGTGAACATTATAATCTAAAAGACATGGCTAGGATAGTTAGACTAAAAGATAAGTTCTTAAAAATGAACAGGATTAATGATACAATGATTGCTATTAAATTAATTATCAAGGAGGACGTTATAAATGGTGTTGGTAATTATGCACCTCAAGTTGGATCAAAATATATTAAATTATAAATTTTATGAAAATATGTACAAACTATTAATAAAACATATCTCAAATGAGAAGAGTTGTAATTGAGTCAAGCCGATTTGTGAGCCGGCTCGGGCTAGACACGATAAATGGCTCTCGATAAGCTGAAAGGCCAAACTTGAGCCAACCTTGCCTAGACTCGTCCTCGATTCGCCCACACGTGAGCATGCATGTTTAAAAAATATTAATATTAAATGCACTTAAAATATATAAAAAACTCGATAAGTTTAGTAGAAATTGCTAAAAATATTTTAAAATAATATTTCTTCCTTATATCATTATTTATTGTTATTTTTTTTTATTCATTTTATCTTATTGTTATAATAATTGCCTAAAGAAGAATGATTTTCTCTTTTATGATAAATGAACCCTTTTGTGAGCCAACTCGAACTCGTAAAATTAAGTTCGAACTCGATTAGTTAACCATGCTCCAGCTCAACCCCATGGTGACTCAAGCTCGACTCATTTACAGCACTAAATGAGAAGATAATTATTGGTGGTGACTTTAACTAACAAATAAATTCAAATAGCATCGACTATGATATAATTTATAATTAGAATGAAATAAAAAAAAAATTAATAGTAGAATCTATACTTGATTTTATAGTCCCAAAGAATCTTGTGATAACAAAAGCATACTTAGATAAACAAGAAGAGAACTTAGATATTTTCAAAAGTCAACTTACTAAATCATAAATATTTTTTTCTTAAAAAAAGAAAAATGGCCTTCAAGAAAATTTTCAAGATAAGTCCATAAGAAGTTCAAGTATTAATCATAAAGTGGTTGATGTGGATGCCTAGTTTAGAAGCATAAACAAATCAAAATATATTAAAATATATATTTAAAAAAGGATAAGATAGAAAAAATTAGGTGAGAAGTTAATATTTTAGGAGAATTGTCTAAAGACAAAAATAAAATCATAAAATCACGTCAAAATTGATGCGGGATAGGATTGTTGCATTAAAGTTTAAAATGAGCAAAAATATATATCATATAAAAGGATACTAGAAAAATCATTGTGCTTTAGAGAGTGGCAAAACAAAAATAGTATTTGAGACTTATAATAGTTATAATGAAGCTAGAAGTATTGCAAAAGGGTAGTAAGCAAAGAAAAAATTTACAACTCTTCATGATTTATATAATAAGCAAAGTGCTACAAAGGAGAAAAAAATAGCTAAGGCAAAAGATAGGATTTGAGATTTAATTAAGTTATGTGGGTTAGAATCAAAGATAATAGGTTTTCATTTAAAGATGAAAACATCAAGCAAAAAATGAAAATACTATTTTAGAATTAGTCAATAAGAGTTTTAAAGGAAAAAAATCCCCTCTAAAACAATATAATTAGTGAATATAATCATGAAACATATTATAGATTTATTCAACAATTTAAAGTTGAATTCACATCACAAAAGATGCATGAGTGATGTAGGCAAGATTTCAGGTTTCCCACTTCCCTATGCGGCTGTCCCTTCGGTTTCTGCATGATGCTTCGAATTCCTTGCTTATTAAATGCTATTTTGATGCTTTGGTCCCCCCCCCATTGGCTGACGTGTGGTGTTTCGGTTTCCCCCAAAAAGCTGCTACTTTTGCTTCGATTTTCCCTCCTACGACTGTCCCTTCAGCTTCCAATGTGCTGTAGTTTTTATATGTTTCTATTGACTGATTTTGAGGTGCATTAAATACATGTGTTAATTGTCTTTTTTTTACCTTTTCTTCTCTTATATAAGGGTTGTTTTAGGAGAGTTTTAGAAATAAAAATTTGTGGAATGTAAAAACCTGTGATTTACATAGCTTGCGAGCTATTGTATTCTTTTCCCTTCTCCACTTAAAATTCGTCTTGATCTTCTAATCTCTTCTTCTCTATCCACAATTCCACCTCATTTCTATCCTTCTTCTCTAAAATATATATAAATTTTATGGTTTATGTTTGTCATGTTTATGCTTAAGGAAAACATTTAGTTTTTGCAATCTTAAAATTTTGGTTGCATCAATAAGTAAATAATGCAAAAAAAAAAAGGAAAAGCTAGGTTTAAATGAGACATCTTTTCAGATTTTGAGAGATGAGTAAATGGTTCATCAAGATTCTTTAATAAAATATATAAAAAAAATGATGTAAAATAGTTGGACAAAAAACACTTTCATAATAGTATTTAAAAACAAAGAAGATGCTCAATGATAATTATAAAATAAAAAACTTATGAATAATATAATAAACCTATTGAATAAAGAATAGAAATATTGAGCATTGGTTAAGAAAAATTGCATTAATATGGAAAACTCAACTACCACAAAGATTCACTATATAGGTGGTTTTTATGAGGCAATTGACGGAAAAGTATGAAGAACAAACAAAGAATCTTCAAATTATTTATGAATCCTAACAAAGCACATGATTGAGTATCATGAGAATTTATTTGGCATGCAATAAGAAGCAAGTCCATTAAAAATAAGCATGATAAGCATTAAATAGCATTATTAGTTATGGAATAACCAAAAGTATCCAATCATAATAGAATTATGTAAACATTAATTCTATATATTTCTTGCATTTGTTATATGGTTGCTTACAAAGGATTAGGATTATAAGCAAATAAATACACTCAACAAAAAATTAAATGCTTGTTCATATGAGGCTCCTCAATGTTTCTTTATTTGGATAATTGACAAGATAAAACAAAATTTTTAAGTTTGACATATAAACAAACAAGTGTGAATTTCATTAATATTCGTAAACATGCTATTATTTGTTTAACGAGTAGCTTGATAAAATATCAATTTAATAATAATTGAATTGCCTTTTAACAAATTATTCTATGTTCACCAATATTCTTCAAAAGTTATTATAATAATAGAAGTATAAATATGATGAAAATGTTGAACAAATAGCTAAATGAATCGATTTTAAACCTAATTTTATTTTTAATCAGCATTTGAAAAAATATTAAATAAATACTCCATGGATTGATTAAAATTTTAACTTTTTTTAAATTAATATTTAATAATGCAAATATTAAGCAAATACCTAGATGGATGATCAAAAATCTATATTTGTTATTCATAAAATATTAGAAATAATAGTAAGTGAACCATTGTCAATTTTGATAATAATTAATAATGAGACTTCGTCTAAATCATTAGCATCTTATATATAGTTAGTAGGTCTCAATTAAAATACAAATACGGCTCACATTCGATAAGAAAATTAATAAATAAGCTTGACAAGAATTTGACACTTGCGCCAGGTTCCAGTTTTACTGAAGTTCGATGAGAAAATAAATGAATAAGAATAAACAATAAGAATAAACAATATGATAGTTAATTCGATTCATTTACAACCCTAAAGGACATCCAAGTGAAATATAATAATAACAACTTTTAAGATATGTGTGGATGAAATTCTATTTGGTAGGATCTTTTACAATAATAAATGTTAAGTTCAAAAATAATGAAGAAATTATATTTAAAAGGAGTTAGTATTAGTTGAAACAAAATTAAGCATAACATATGCAATTTTAATGAGTTTGAAATTGAAATTATGACTCAATATTGCCAGAAGATCAAGTAAGATATCTAATTGTGATGAGTTTGAACTAGTATTATTACAAGCAGCGCAATGTGCTGGCCGTGCACATCACTTGCCTATAAAGCTCAAGCTCACAATAAAATGTGTGTATCATGCTAATTCGTCACATCGCATCATAGACGCACTAGGATGTAGCTAAACAAAATTGAGGTTCAAATTTCATAGTTTGATTTAACACCTGCTCCAATAATTGGGCATTCGCTTCAAACCCATTGTTTCTTATGATCACTGAGTTAATGCTTCTTAGTTCTCCATTCTCTACAATTGAAAATAGTAATTTCTTATTGATTCTTCTCTTCACACTCCCTCACCTGCTAATTTCCAATGAACTTCTCGTTGGTTTTTGTTGTTAGCACGAGTAGCTTCTCCCTAATAAAACTGATCTCAAGAATGCTTCTCAACACCTCATCTTCACAATCTCTTCGCCTCTCAATCTCTAATTGGTCAGTCAATCTCGTAAGTATTATTGATTTTTTAAGTATTCATTTATCACTTCATTATTTATATCCTTAACTCTTTTTCTTTTCTTTTGAATAGTTGAAATTTATGTTTAAACGTAAAATTATATTAGTTGGATATTATTACCTAATTTAGTTTAATTTTAGCTAAATAAATAATTAATGTATGCACATAATATATGTATATATATGACATATAAGCAATGAATGCTCTAACTAGTAGAAGTGATGCTTCACTTTGCATTTTAGGCATCTCGGCAAAAAGAAATTCTTGTGCAATCCCTCATACTTAGCACTTTGAAAACATTGGTTTGAACATTTCAGATGTATTATAGAAGAATGGAGAAATATACAAGCATATAAATTTTAGGGTTAAGGTTGTAGGATGATTAAATTGGTTGTGTAAACTGTAAAGAGATTTATGTAGAGTGGATTTAAGCAACATTGAATAGGAATAAATGGAGAATGTTGATTCATAAAGCCTACTCTAAATAGTTGGAATAGCAAAAGATCATGAGGAAGAGGATGTTTAACCAGGTTGTCTAATTAGTCCCAAGTTCACACACTTGCTTAAGACAATAGCATGTGAAACTAAAAGAATTGCAAAACAAAATATCTATGGTGACTAAACAACTCAGATATATTTAACTAAAATATGATTCAAGAAGATACAAGCATACCTCCATCTTCATAAAGTAGTTTCCTTGAATCATTTGATTCTATAAAACTGGTAGCATTTCCCGAGGCCTGAGAAAAGTCAAGACAACCAATTCAAATATGGATAATAAGGGTCAACAAATCAGTTTGCAGGCAATTAAATGAATATGGACAAAGGCTAAAGGTATCTCTCTACCAAGATGTATAAATTCAAAACTATCAATTCAGAATGAAGCTTTAAACCATTTCTAAAAGCCAAAGCCAAAAAGAACCTGATGAGGACATCGGAGATCAACGACTACGATCTTGAGTTATTTATTTATATGTTTTCTATACTAGTTTATTTATATTATTGTTTTTCCCTTTATACCCTGACGGGTGGTCATGTAGTGTTGTAGCCTGAAGGGCGTTTTATTCTTTTATTTCTTTTCTTTTCATGAGGCCTATTTATAAGCTAGTTGTTTTGTATTTTGGGATGATGATTATTGATGAAAATTTCAGCTTTTATCTTCTTCAATGTGTGAGCTTTGAGAGGAGAAAGAAAGCAATTGGTGAGGGCGAAGGCAATACCCATCAGTCTTTGGAAGAGGCTGAGACTCGCGGTTCGTTTATTTCTTCTTCTTCTTTTCACCCCTATCCCCTTCCCCATCTCCCTACACCCGTCGGCTCCAGCTCCCCAAATTCCCCACCTGCCGGCCTCCTCCACCCAAAGCCCTCTAGCCGCCAGCCACTTCAACCTTCCTATTCGTCAATTCCTTCACCCGCCACCTTCCCACACCCCGCCGCCTACCACCCATCTTCCAAATCGCCGGAAATTCTCCAGCCTCTCCCCAACCGCCGGCACCCCAACTTCCCCACCCGCCGTCCCCTAGCACCACCAAAACTAGCGGCCCCTTTCCCCCATAGCTCCCAAAATCTGAATTCAATTCCATCATAAAATCTTTTCTAATTTAGCCCACCAATTTAGGAGGAGATTTAAAATTCAAAATTCAAAGATTTGAATTTAAATCCTCTCTTAAATGATCCCCCTCTAATTTAGGAGAGGTCCTCAATCAACATAAATCTGAAATTAATTTCATATTTATGTCCCCAATCACCTTAACTGCTTGGGCCCACCTCCATAATATACAACCCCTCTCTTCCTCTCTCCTTGGTCGGCCCCCCATATCCCCCATTTAATTAATTAAATCCCACAAATTAAAGATCGAATTAATTCAATCCCCTCCCCACCTTCCCTCCTAAACTCCACATATTTCAAATTCAAATGTCTAAATCAATTGCTCCATAATTACTCCCTAAATCTGAAATTAATTTCAGATTTCCCCCTATGCTCCTCAAATAAATTCTTTCCAAACCTGAACCGAAATCAAAGGGAATTAACTCCTGTTTCCCTCCACTGTTGTCCACGCAATTCCCCACCATACCCTTCAAGCTCACGTGCATCCAGAAGGAGGAAATCTTGAAATTTTTGCTCGCCAACTGGCTGTCCAGATTTCTGGACAGCTTCTAATTGCTGTCCAAAACTTCAGAACAGCAACGTTGCTGTCCAAAATAGCTCCAGGTTGCTGTCCAGGATCTATCCAAGACCAGCCTCCTTGCTGTCCAGAGAATTCTGGACGTTTGGCATGTCAGCCTGCCCTCCCACAAACTTGGAAATTGCTGTCCCAGTTTTGTTCTCCTGCTGTCCAGAAAATCCAACAGCCTTCTAGTGCTCTTTTGCCATCCGGGATACTACTCCCATTTGTTGCCCGGAAGACTCCATCGGCTGCCCACCCACAGAACTTCGCCAAGAACAACCGTCACAATTCGGAACTTCCTCTACGTACCTCAAACAAGACTTACGAACTTAACTATGGTGAACTCTTCCCCAAGTTTCTTATTTTCCTAGTTTATTTTCAATTGTGGTTATATTTTGACTCACAAAGATCGCGTTTACTCTCCTCCGCTAAAGCTTAGTGAGTTAGTGTTTAGTAGGACTGTGTGATGGGCATTTCATAGCACTAATCTTATTATTAGCATAGGGATTTATTGTTGAAATCATTCACGTATGCAACGTTAGATTAACTTGATTGTTTTATGATCTTAACTTTTATGCGCGTGATTCGGCCTAAGCTTGTCTTACCGCTCTTTGTGTTTTATTTCATCGTTTGAAATCACTATAAAGGTATAATTATTGTGCTCTAAATATTAAACGTGCAAATTCCTTAACCTAATCATCCTTGCATGTATGTATTACATCAGAACCATCATAGTTCTCAACCACATGCATCACAAATTCGAACCGAAAATTGCTAGGAAGAATATCACTCAATGCAAGAAAATTACAAAAATAAATATTTCAAGGCCTTCAAGTTGTTTTTGTGTCAAATAAAGAATACTTCATGCAATCAAGAAGACAGAAAAAACAAGTTTCATAGTTTAATCAATAGAGTAAACTTGGAAAATTGGTTGAAAATATTTATTTACCCAGGAAAAGGATGAGCAGAGCCACAGGAATGGGAACACGGTCTCATCTCATATGATAATTGCTATTCATTTATTTTTGCATTATCATCTTAACCTAAAGTTTTTGGAATGAAAGAAGATGAGGTGCATTGAAGCTTCCAAGTTCCAACCTAGTCATATATAATTTAGGTAACCAAATGCTCGAATCGACTGCATATTTTCGATTCCCGCCTCTTCTAGAAGTTTTCCCAGAGAAAAGCTGCTCAGATGTAATAAGGGAAGAAAAGAATGAGATGATTTATTTCAAAAACAAGAAACACATAATAGCATTTCAGATACCTAGGAAATATAAGTGATACGTTGATGGTGTAGTTCATACAAGGACAGAAACCATAATGAATTGATATAGGTTCATCGCCAATCATGTCGAAGCATGATTAATTAAGTTGGCCATTATCCAATTCATTCACAAAGGCCAATCATGTCGAAGCATGATTAATTAAGTTGGCCATTATCCAATTCATTCACAAAGGATCTCATCATTCGCTCAACTACTTCTGAGTGCTAGATGATTTGATAGAACACCATCTACGCATCTATTGTCTCTCTTCCAGCTTCCACTGGAAAGGTGGCGCGTTCATAGCACCATGTCAGAATGATGAAAGGATACGAAAAATATACAAATTCTTCACCAAGGCTCCTATCACTGCTATAGGTCTTATGAATATAACATGGTATAGGATGAAATCTAGAATTTATTATTCACACTTTAAGCTGCTAAATATGCCATCTTTAGCGAAATATGACCAACTAATGACAAATTAGTTAGATCACAGCTTTTGACAATTCCTTTGCCTTCCCTCTAAAGGATTACACATATTTAACAATATAAGTAAAATTTAATTGGGACTGAACAAATTACAAATCATACTTCCCAATTAAGCAATTTCACTTATTGCCTCCCTCTAAGTCCTCCCAGGCATCTTCCAAGTTCCCGTAGCGGAAAAGCAACATTATACTGGCAACATCACCATTTGGATACCCAAGTGGAAGCATATCAAATTAGGAAAGTAAGAAGGCTTTCATTACCACTTTCACCCTTAATAAACCAGTAAATCAGAGAGGTTGCTTAAGCGCCATGTAAACGACCTAAATGCATAGTAATCACTTCACAACTTGGCTGCTCAATCTTTCCGTAACAGTTTTAGAAACACAACAAATGACATAGAATTACCTCATTGGCTATTTTTTTCACAAATCATGATTATCAAAGGGACCAAAACATCTCAATGGCACAGGGACCAAGGAGCAGATGATAGTTGCAAGTCTTCTTGAATGAAATTAACCAAATTAAAAAAATGCCCAATCATCATACTAATCTAGATATGGCTATAAGCAACAGAGGATGTCTACAAGGAACCTTTAAACTTGATTGAAATTCCTCCTTGACTTCCAATTATAATGTACAACACACTACACCGAGAACTCAGAATTTAGCACTCTCATTCACCAATGCATTACTAGAAAGATAAGGAAATGCATAGCACCAGAATGAAAATAACATCTCTGCAAAGTTGAATTCCTTAAGATGAAAATCTTCAATATTTCCAGGACGTGCAGTGCCATTAGCATCCGTTACCACATCATTCATAAGATCATTACATTCACCACCAACAACAGCAACAATTTTCAGGTTACTATCATCTTGAATAAATGCTTCTCAAAATCAAGACAACGCATTATCATCAGTTGAATCATGTTTAATATTATTTCTCATACACAATGGCTGTGACTTGACAAGTGGATGATCAGTAACTTCTCGAGACTTGATTGTATCTCGGTCAATTGTCCCATGTAAACAAGAAGCACTTGATTCACCAAATCAAGTAACTAAACTATCAGATGATATTGAACAACCATTTCTAGTTTTCAAATGGCAAGTAGAAGGTTGCATGTACACAAAATTTTGAAGCCACTGAATTATTTCTAACTTCAATTCAGAAGGAATAGATGTGACCTCATCCTGCCACATTAATTGCAATGTTTAGTAAAAACATTCCATAAAAGAAGTCAGCTGCCAAATTAGTTTATAAGTAAATACCATAATAGATGATTCCAAGGAAGCTAACGACACACCTAGCTCTAATGCAACATCAGCAATACTGATTTTCCTACAATCAATAACCTGAACAGGTAAAATTAGAACGCTAAAATACAAAACACTAACAAAACTTAAGAAAATAAATTAGGATGACATACAAACATAATCTTGATTTTAATTTTAAATTTTACCTTTCTGAAATTTGTGATGACATCAGATGTATTTTGAAGAACATTCCCATTATCAGGAGCCACAAAGCCTTCCCTTTTATTTGACTGTGCACCTCCACCATCTGGTCTTAGCTTTATCACCAAATTTTCTTTATCGAGGTTTGTATCATTTTTCACCTCATCAGAATTTGAATTAATTTTTTCATCTAGCACCATGTTGCTATCCTTACTCCTACGGGTAATTTTTATCTTGGGCAATCTCTTAATGGGTATGCTTGCAGGCAAAAGCTTTCCAACCATATCATCTTTACCAATTGTGCTTGGATGTTCAGCGCCTGCAATGCTATCAATAGTTTGAAGAGAGGAATGCTTTGAACAGAAAACTCTCAACTCAACCTACACAATTTTTCAAAGCAAATACATAAATATTATTGAAATCTGGCCAGAGCTAGAAAGAACTGAAGGAAAATATACATTATCTAGACCAAACTTTCCCCAGATCTCCATTTGATGATTAGCAGCCCTGGCACAAACAGGGTGGACAGATGTGCGACAAGTTCCTGAAGAAATCACAGAAATATAATGTCAACAGATAATAGAATAGGATAAGTTGGTGTGAAAATAATACTAACAAAAAACAAATGAATCATCATCGGAGAAATGTTTCAAAAAAGTTCATCCTCCATAATACATTTAAAGAACAACTATGGAGCTTCTAGCTCAAATATAAACTGGCATTAGCAGGCCAGGTCTTTGAATTGGAATAGATAAAAATTAAGATGCTTCTTGACCAGATGTATTTCATCTGCTTTATCATTAAAAAAAACTAAGTACTATATTTTTTAAGACCAACAGCAATTCAGTAACATTCAGAACACAAATTCAATAATAGATTGACATTTAAATGAAAATGGAGAAATACATAAGGTTTTATAATGAAGTCGCTCACCATTATGACTTGGAGATTAGAAGTTTGAATTATAGAAAAAAATAATCTCTGCAGTGCAAAGGACATGAATTCAATATAGAATGATTTAAAATCTTCAATCAGTTAGGCATGTCAAAAATGCTTTTACAATCCATGCTCCTAATAACATACTGATGCAATACCATGAAACAAGGACACATCAAAATGCCTTCTGTGTCGCACACGGACATGCCTCCTCCGACATTTCTTCGGCATATGTTTGACATGCTAAAAACCACACCTAATATGTCATTTTCCAAAAATTAGATTCGGACAAATAGCCTGTATATGGCACATTTAAGACACAATATAACATTTTTATCCATTCAAATAATTTTTGGATGGCTTGGTATGACATCTTAAAGCATATATTTTTGGCAGCCATCCTATTTCATTTTTTGCATCACCATCATCATTTTTTTTTCTGAGCCTCAAAACATTGATTTTTGACAACCAACCTGTTTCATTATTTGCATCAATGTCATCGTTTTTTTCATCTAAGCCTCAATGAGACCTAATTCCTCACCTAAAACCTGGTCTCCAACTCATTGAACCTGTAAGCTTACAGCTTCTCCTCCAAGCTACCACTCCATCATCAAGCTTGCTCCTTCTCTATTACTTTTCACCAAAACCTGTCTCTCCTTCTTTAATATTTCTCACACCACAGACACTCTCGATCTCTAATTCTCTATTGTGATGTTGTTGGAGACCTCTTCAACTCAGTAACACTTTGACCCCCTTTCTCAAGTGTGATGTTAACTTTACAGACACTAACACAAACTTCAATATTCATGATTTATTCTTGAACAATGTTTTTGTTCTTCGCTATGCCTCCACAAATGACAGTATCATTTATATTTTGCATCAAATCCTTATATTTAAAATTTTCTTCAAAAAATTTGTTGTTTTTTCAATAATAAAGGCTTATTCTATTTGTATTTTAAACTTTGTTTTATTGATTATAATACAAGCAACAAAACAACCTAAGGCTTTATTTATTCATTTGAAATTGTATTATGTGGAGTTGTAATGTGCTGACTCAAATAAAGTCTTTTCATATCATCAAAACAAAGAATTTGTTCTATAAATGCAACATTGACATTCCTAATGTTGTGGAGAGATAATGCACATCGTAGAAATTTCATCATTTGTTCTCCCAAAAGTGTGGCATGTCATGATTTTGAAAAGCAATGCATTCAAAACAAAAATTTGTGCACAGAAAGCATGACCCTAGGGCTAGGAATATTTTCAGAAATAGTTGGTTCACTAAGATAGTATTATAAAATAATTCCAAGAAATATTAGAAGCCAAACCAAGATAATATCCAAGCCAAAAACTTCATCAACAACTAAGAAATCATACTTAAAATGCAAGTGGCCTAAATGAAAGAAAAATGGCAATGCAAAAAAGCAAGACTAGTGAGTCTACACAGGCAACATTTTGGTGAAAGAAGCTGCTAACAAATGGCTTTCAGAAAATGGGCAATGATTTCATAATGTTCTTCACAAAAAACATACAAATCCATCCAAATGGCAGCATTAAATGTCAAATGTCTAAAAAAGATAACAGTGCTATTCAGAACTTCAAAAGAATCAGGTTTTTTCCCAAAAACATTTGAATGAGGATCTTGGCAAACAGACAGAGACCACGTACCATGGCTACAACGCACACAAGTGCCATGCTTCACCTTACACAAGTAGCAAACCAGTCTCCTTCGAGCATCCTGCAAGCCTTCAACATTCATTACTGGTTCCATGACCCCTACATCCTCCACATACATACTGGGTATCCACAGACAACAAAACAAGTGAACAAACTTTGTCTCTTCGCTACCTTCCAAGTTCCCCGCTAAAGGTTTCAGCGCTCCACTGGTTTTTGGGCAAAGCATGCAGGGACTGATGCTAGCGTACTCATCATCAGCGTTTCTCTGAGATTTTCTTCCCACTGCCTCCAAATAATTACACCATGAGCACAACCAACCACCAGCGGGAACCTCATGAACACCATAACATTTCTGGTGAACTGAAACGTTGCAAGAATCACATAAAAGAAGACGGTTAGACTTCACGTCACTTTCTCCCAAGCAACAAAAGTCACAGCGTGGCGTGGCAGCGCCTGCGGCTTCTATACGAGGAAGTTGCAATAGCTGTTCTAAACCTGCGTCTTCACCAAGGAGCTTCCTTTTCTTAGAAGGTCTTCCTGAAGTGAGAAGAAATCTCTGCTTACACCCCAGAATCCAATTCAGTGATTTTTTGTCCTCCACCTCAGACTCTTCCAATGACAGTGCGCTACTTAAAATCACCTCGCCGTCACTTTGCATGGCCTGAGCCGCCTCCACCTGAACGCTCCCCAACTCTGATTCAACAACTTTCGAGCTGCTAACTGCATCCGTTTCACCCGGTGGACACTCATCAAGGACTGGTGCTTCAACCTTCACAGCCTCTTCCAGAACATTTTCCGAGCCAGGAATGTAGAAACAAGAATCTGGTGGTAATCGAGTAACCAAGAGATCGATGTCATCCAAAGTTATGGGCCTGAAGTACGCCTCGGTCTTCTCCCACATGCTCAAACAAGCCGTCGGGCCTGCCGGCGGCCGCCCAGGCCCGACGGCTTTGCCAGCAGCATCTTCTTGTACCTTGCGGTGCTTCCTCCGTCCATCTGACTTCCTATGCAAGTTTGCGGACAGTGCCAAAGGCAGCGTCCCATATCTCGGAACCGTCTCTTCGGAATCAAAAGGGCAGCGCTCGGTTAACGCTTTCCTCGCCTGCGTGTAAAGATCCACCCCCGGCGCCACCAATGGGGTGGCCATCGACAGGCCGCCATTAGAAGGCAAGGAAGGGGACGGTATCGTCTCTGAGGCACCAGATCCGGCGGCGGAGGCGCCGGTTGTTGTCCGCCGCTTGGATCGGCCACCAGTCATCGCCTCGATCCGTAACGAGAACCCATGGAACGAACCACGGGGAGGAGAACAATGAGTGAATCGGACCAGATCTTCACGTCATGTGGTGGCGGCGGCCTGTAATTTCTTGGATTAGGGTTAGGGTTTCGTTTCAGTTTTCTTTTTTTCTCGACTTTTCCCTTTTCTCTCGCTTCAATTTCGGATCCGTTTGGAGGAAAGGGGACAAATTTTTATTTTTGGTCCTTTTCCAATCTTTTTTTTTTTTAGCTCGGAATGTAGCTATTGAATCGGTTGGAGTTCTATCACGTATGGATAAATTAATGTTCGCTAAGCTTTGTTCTTTATAAATTAAAAAGGATTCCGGTCACCAATGGTGAGCGAGAGTGGGGTTCGTTCGTTGGTTCACCTCTTGGGTGTGTGCCTGTGTGGAAACTTGTCGAGCTGATGCATGGGCGCTTACGTGTTTTTCATTAACGCATTGGTACGTTTGCGGTTGGATAAGATCCATTTGGATGCTTATAATTTATCATAGAATTTTTAAATATATAATTTATTTGAATTAATTTTATTATTATGTATTAGAAGCTATCTTACAAAATAATAATAATAATTGACTTAATTATGAATATTAATTAAAATGTTACAATCAAACCATCTAATTTTCAAATTTTTATTGAGTCTAATTTTTATAAAATTATTTTTTAATTCATTTATAATAGTAAGAAGTTCAATCAATATGTCATTATATCATTCTCCACTTCTTATTGCAAAAAATAAAATAAAATAAAAGTGTACATATCTAAATTTGAGATTCTAAAATAAAGTCAACCTCGCTTCATTGGATCTTGCCCACAAAATTACAGAGTGAGCTAAGAGCTCAATAAGTTATCAGAATCTACAACTGCAATCAATGCAAAATAATAGAAGCAGTATGTATATAATCAATCAATTCATAACAATATAAAATATGTAAGAGTATCAAAATATAATCATTAATATGAACAATATCAATTCATGTAAATTGTGAGAATCAATACAAGTAACGTAATATGGAAGTCAATACTCAATAATCATATAGGGATAAGCATGTTTTGCATTTATATATCCACATAAAATATAACACAGCTGGTCTATCATAGATATGTATATATATATATATATATATATATATATTCATACCATATCAAGTAAATGTTATATAGCTATTGTATGCATGTCGTGCAGTATCAATGCATGTATATCATATGTTACATCAAATGCAATGTATTTTGTATCTTATACATTTCATATGTATAATGCATCATTACATAAATCTTATAAATATTATCAATGATATCATGTGTTTGTATAAATCATATTTTGGATCATATTCATATCATATTATATATTATAACTTATACAGTTTATTATGAATGCTCATATCATATGTATATGCAAAAAAGGCATGACAGCTAGCTATTTATGATATTTTTTGTATTAACTCCTACATGTCAATCTTACAAGAATCAATCTCAATCATATCAGCTTTGTTATCAAGAATCAATCTTATATAAAATGTCATAAAGTCAAGCGACTTTCATGTTAAAAGTTGTTACTTTATGCTTGTTGGTGTATCAGTCAGTCCCATTATACCTCTCTTTTCATATCTCTTGGATTACACTACAAACTGTCTTTAAAAGAAAACTCATTGTCTCACCCACTTGTTTATGATATCATGTCTCCATCCAAATTGAATATTAATTTCCAACTAGCATTTCTTGCTTTTACATGTATTTTATCACATGTAATTTATAATAACAAATATTATGGTCAATAATCATAACATATAAATTTACTCAGTGTGCTCATCAGTATGCATGTATTATGCTAAAATACATGTTAGACCATATTAATAATAAAATAATGCATATCATGTATTTTATGTGTACATATATTACATTGACTCATGATCTTTTCATATTTAGTATTATTCAATTCATTTCAATAGAAATAACATATATGCAAAACCAACCAGTAAAATTTCAAAATGATTGTGTTAAGATATTTAGGATAGCAATATCTACAATATATCAAAAGTTACATAGTGAATGTTTACTAGAATTAGAGATATCATATTTTAATTGATTTTAGGAGATAGAAAAATAGACAAAAATTAAAATCACAAAAAAACATAAGCATGATTAACATAGTCTACCATGAATAACCACTTTTTGTAACTAGAGTGATGAAAAATATCAATTTGAACCCCATTTTCTCTTTTTGACTACGATAATTTGGATAGTTTTAAAGTTTTGGAATATGAACCAGTTAGTGAACAATATCTTCTCCATATGAGATGATATATTGTTCCTAATGTTGTGTTAGATTTCAAAATTAAAGTTTGAATTTAATATTCCCAAAAATAATTAAATATTTTCAAAATTAATTATATATTTAAATATACTTTTCAATCAAAACATGGGCCTAAATGTTTTCTTACAAACTTTTCCTCATATTTTCATCCGGGCTTGGACTAGCATAGCCAATTTTAATGCAAAAAAAAACAAGTGCTAACAATGATTAACTTTTCCAAAGTTACAAATTCTTTATAAATCAAATAAATACAAATTATGATATATTAAAATTTAAAAAATAAAGTTATTATTTAGACTTTTCTAAAATTCAACATTTATTTTCAAACTTCTATAATATTTATTTGTTCATAAAATATATGATGTAATGGATTGATTTGACAAATTTTTTCTCCTTTTTGCTCTCTTCTCTCACTGGAATGCAAAGGAATGGGACTGGATTAAGGTGGTGAGGGATTTAAAAATATATATACATTTTGATATTTTTATTTATTTTTTTTTAACCTATGGTTGTGATGCTCAAGATACTAACATCGCTACGCTTACTCAAACTTTAGGAGACCCGAGTGCTTGGCATCACAACGCCTAGTAGACTAGACGCCACAAATGCAATGACCCTTAATTTCTATAATATAAATCTTAACATGTAATAGTTAAATAATATTTTAGATATCATTATAAGTCTAATTTGTAAATCGTTTTGCCATAAAATGGATATTATTATGCTTTAATTTTAAATTTTTTTTCCTGATTTTACGAGCAGTATGAATGTGACAATAATAAGTTCCATATTTGATTATAATTCCTTAAGAAATCGACACGTCAATACGAGAGGGTTTTTTTTAGATCATTGGGTGTTCATTTTAAAAACTGATTTTACCAGAGTTTTTCAGGGATGATAAAATATTTTATGAATATTTTTTTATATCTTTTGGATCCCCAAATTTGAAGATATAAAATAATTTATAAGAATTTTATGCTTAAAAATAAATAATTGGTATAATTATTAATGCATCATAAAATATTTTATTATAGAAATCTTAATCCACTTCATGTAATCCAACTAAAAACATTGCTCGTCTAAAGGTAGGTTGTCATTACCCCGCTTCTGATTTTAGTGATTTTGCTTCTTTTATAATTTCTTAATTTTAATTAGGTCAGAACTTACAAAAGTTATGATTACTCAATGTTTAACAAACTACAACAATACAACTTCTAGTATGTTATAATTTAAACCATTTTACATATATTGACATGAATATATTAATTTTTACTAGATTTTTTGTATGATTAAGGAAATATCTAATTTCGTAAATATGGAAATTAGATAATTTTTTGTCAAAATCACATAATAGCAGTGTATAACATGCATAATTAATATATATAGTGTATGAAAATGAGTATATTAATTTTTTTTAGGAATGTCACTACTTATGATTCATATGTGTATTTTATACGCACTAGACTAATGCAATGAGCTAAATATTAACCAAGTCAACAAAGTTTAACAAAGCACACATACACTTCAATTCAATTCAAATCTCTCGACCAGAGCTTTCAAGTCAACCCAACCCCTTGGAATAACCCATTAGGTCCCTAAGAGGTTCCCTTTGAAGTTCTAAGCTTTGGGTTGACTTGTGTCAACTGTATAGCTTGACCGAAGTGTCCAAAGAAGGTCTTCCTTGATCCATATCTCACCTTAAGACAAATCAAATCAAACTAATGGTTATATTGGGTCCCCAATGACCCAATGCACCTACCCTAGCTGGCCCAGCCCTTGAGTTAACTCAGGCTAGCAATTGGGCTAACCCGAAGTGCCCAAATTTTCCTTGACTTGAGCCATTTTCCAATCAAAGGCCCACCAGGCTAAACCAGCACTTCCATTGAGTAGCCCTAGACCCAATGCATCCACCCTAGTCAGCCCAGCCTCTGGCTTGACTTGGGTAAGGACTTAGGCTAGCCCAAAGCGGCAAAGCCATATTAACTTTATCCCATTCTCACCACAGACCAAATTAAACTCAATTTCCACTTGCATTGAGTACCCCTTGACCCAATGTTTCTGTCTCATTAAACTCATGATTTGGCATAACATGGGTTGCATCCAAATCAATCAGAATCGTACAAGTTTGGGTCGACTCAAGCAATGGTGCTAAATTAGGCTTCACAATGGCTAATTGATCCCTCAGTTGAGTCTACCAGACCCTCCAGCATCCTTTCCACTTCACCCTGACCCGAACTATGGCTAGCGATGGTTGAAGCGAATAAGATCAACCTCTGGTGGTCCCCTCTATCTTGAGCCCCGTCTAAAGGTTTTCAAGGCCCTGGTCTCATTGGCATTGAGTTTATGGAGATCATATAGGTTGTCCTCATCAAGTTGGCAGCCAACCAATGGCTTGCCCGATCAACCAGACCGTCCAAGGCCGCGGTCATAGTTTGAATAGGACATCTCGTTATCCCCAGCCTCATTCGCTTTCGGCTTCTTAATTTCATTACCCATAGCCTTCTAAGTAGTCCTCTCCCTTCTCCCTGCCCTCAAACCCTCTCTGGCCATCAATTCGAGCGAGCTCTAATGAAATCTCTATGCACTCCACTCGAAGTCCTACTTCTGGCGATCCTCCGACCACGAATTTTTAAGGAGAAGTACTCGCCTTCACCCTCTCAAGCTTCATGATAAAGAAACTCATTTATTGAGGCTTTCTCTAAGGTATAAATTAAATCATGAGCTCCCTAGTTAAGTGGTTTGGTCAAATGTGAAGTAAACCTTCAACCAACCAATTTCCTCCATTGATTGAAGGATCACATCCTTCTGATACTTTCTGCAAGTTTTGATAGAATTTCACCAGTATGATCCCTCGGATCATGCCAAAATATGCCACGATTACAGAGACGTATTTTCTAGCATAATTTACATTGATTTGGACACCACTTGTATCCGGCAGATGCATATCCGTAAAAAA